AGTAATAAAATAAATAAATATGAATAGTAATTCATCATTCAAATGAATGGAGTCATTTGTTAGATTTCTATTTTATGGAACTGAAAGACACTCAAAAATCTCTATTAAAATTTAGAACAAAGTTTTTCCTTCTTATGTTTTGAAATGTTTTAGGAGAAGGAAGCTTGCTATATATGGTAAAATCTCCCCAGACATTCCCATTCCCTTGGAAATATCATAACTATTTCTTCTTTAAAATTTGTTTATTATAACATTCCTACATTGTTTGCTGAAAATTCTTGCATTGATAAATGTCAGAATATTTGTAAAGGTGTAATAAGGTTATCCAATTATAAAACAGAGTCAATGAACTGAAGAATTGGCCATATCTTCTGAAGATGGCAGATGAATATCTAGACTTCAACAAAAGAGTTAGATGTCAAAACTTTCCATTTCACACATTTTCAAATCAAAGCTAAAATTGTTCAGAATTGTGTGCGTCCATGTGCCTGAGCATGTGTGTGTGTGCATGACTATGTGTTTGTGTGTGTGTGTGTGTGTGTGTGTGTTGCTGGGGATTAAACTCACATACATATGTGTGGTAGGCAAACACTCCACTACCAATTTATACCAACAGCTGTAATTCTTCAGGTTTAAGGTGATTTAAGTTTTTATTTGACATTTTCCTTAGTCTTAACCCATCTGGCTTTTTTTCCCATTAAGTTTATTGGTACATTTTAGGTATACAATACAGTTACATTCATTGTTGGGATCTTGTACCTTTACATGATGCATCTTTGTTCTTATTTTTTCCCCATTCCCCAGCCCTCCCTTCAGAAAACCATCAAAACAACTAACTCTGGATTGTCTGTCTCATGGAAGGATTGTTCAATGTATGTACTAATGGATACAAATCAATTAATATACCATACTTTTCCTTGAGAATTTCCCCAAATCACAAGCTAACAGGAAAACCACAACTAAAAGTATATTTTCTGGGGTTTATGATAGTGATTCTCAACTAGCACATGGCATCAGAATGAGCTGGAGGACTTAGAAAAATCACAGAGTATTGAGTTCCACAAATAGTTTCAGCTTCATAAAGTTGGACATAGATTCAAATTTTCTCTTCTAAAATATTCCAAAAGCTGCTTCTGTTGGTTTTGATACAACAGGTAAAGTCCACCATTTTAAAATATTGACTATTATGTTCCAAACAAAATTGAAAAATGTAGAATCCCCCATGACTTATTTTTCACCATTTATTTTCTTTTGAGCTAAAGAAAACTGGGTACATATTATTTCAGGAGAGTA